AAGAGTTGGAAAAGGCATCACAATTAGTGAAAACCTTTGAACTCAATATAATTACTCGGGTTTTATTGGTCGGGTCTTGCTAACCCCAAGACATTAGACCTAGTCGGTTTTGTTGGTGCGGGTGGACTTCGTTGGAGGTCTCCGTGTGAGCGGGACTTGAAGCTTTCAAGTAAGAGCTCATTTTGGAGCGAAGCACGCGTCAAAGGTAATTAGCTTATCTTAATCTTGTGATTAATATAATTATCTTTATGGTTTTATTTATTGCGAGTGCGGTATTGTTTTTGGGTTTGTTTCCGTGGTGAGTCGGACTCACCAAACCCCAACACTCATGCCTAACCATGTGACACTTGTTACTTAGTTATTCCTTGGTTTATTTAACTAAGGATTGAATTCATTAATCTTTCCACATAGGATCTTTTTGTGAAAAAGTCCCATATTTAAAGATAAGTGAAATTCACAAGGATGCTTTCCTTAAAAAAACCCAAGGCATGCCTTGGGATTATTCACTTGAGTAAGTGTCGAAAAAGGCATCACAATGTGAAAACCTTTGAACGCAATTACTTTGGTTTAGGTTGGGCCTTGCTAACTCCAAGGAAATAGACCAAGTCTGGTGTCCGCACTTCGTAGGAGGTCCCCGTGTGAGCGGGGCTAAGGGGCTTTAAAGTAAGAGCTTAATTAAGTGAGAGAAATACACTACAAAGGTAATATTCTCTTACTTAGTCTTGTGTTTATGTTAATTATGCTTTATGGTTATAATTATTGTGAGATTGGTTTTGGGTCGGGTTTCTTTCTGCAGTGGGTTGGACCCATCGAAACCTAACATGATTTTCCTCTTTTTGTAGATATGTGTATTCTACCTTTTCTAACTGATTTGTGAGAGTTTCCAGATATGTTTGGTAAGGGGCCAAGCTTTCACTCCTTACTTTACACCTTTTGGAAATTTAGTTGATGATTAAAGAAGAATCTCCGAATATTTGAAGTTTCTTTACTTCCAATGCCAAAGCTGTTTCAAGACCTACCACGCATGCTTCATATTCCGCAGCATTGTTGGTAACGTCAAAATCTAACTTTATGGATATTGGGGCATGTTCCTCTTTAGGTGATACTAATAATACTCCTACACCACAACCTGTGAGGAGGATGTTCCTATCGTAGGGGATCCTTCCTTAGATGCACATGACCCTTTAAAAGAGTAGGACTTTACACTTATTTAGGGTGTATTAGGATTTGAATTCCTGACTGTTTAGGGGACCTTGAATTAGAATTAATTCTATAAGTACGCTTTTTTGTAAGAAACAAGTAGGAGTTGCCAATGAGTTTTAGGAAAACTCATAAACCTTATTCATGCCTTTCTCCCATGTGGAGTTCATGGGATAATTATCACAAATCGTAAGTTTACCCATTCCCAAATTGGTCTACATAAACAAGAAATGAGTTTGGGAGCGAGGGTACTAAAATAACGTTCCCTTTAAAGGAGAATCGCTACTCTAGCCCTAGTGCGACCTCTTCTAGCTCTTCCATTTTCACAATTTCATCACCAAACAATGTATGCAATGCGATAACTAAAACTAAGTTAGTTAATATCATTTACAAGCATTAATCACGTAGGAATTACATTGCAAAGTCATTATTCTTTATTTAATTCAAATTCGTGAAAGGAGCAAAAGTAAATAAGGTTTGCCTTGGCTTAAGTGATCAATCAATCATTTAATTATTCAATTCTAATCTTATTTAACGCAAGATACTATGTTGAATTGATTAATTAAATATCCTTTTAAAGTGGTCAAACAACACTATTTTATTGATTAAGGTTCTTTTAAACTAGAAAAGTAAATGTGATTTATCTAAGTGCTCAATAATTTACCATTTCTCTTTTCTAGATCTCCGTTTAGAACACTTATGGACTCGTTCTTGTTCGAGAACCTCCACCGCAGTAACAAAGATTCAGAGGGGTGAGTGTTTAGGACAAGAGGGTTTGGTAGCACAAGTTCACAAGAGTTTCTGCCAGAATTTTAGGTTAATTTCTATGTGTTTAAGCCTCGTATTAAGCCCATATTTATAGAAAATGGACGCAATTAAGGTTTTAAGCATTCTTCCATACCAGGTGTTGCGCACATCTGAATGAGTTGCGCGGCATCCCAGCACAAGTAATTGAGTTGCGCTGCTATAAGCAGCGCAACTGGATGTCTTGCGCGCGACATTATGGTAAAATTTGATTTTATATTTTTATGGAATTTGAAATCTCCCGCGAGCGCATCTCTAGAAGTTGCGCAAGGTGTTGCGTGCGCCAGACCAGCGCGACTCATTGAGACGCGCACGACTTTTTCTGCGGCATCATTAAATTTAACCTAGGCGCCTCTAAATCCGTCATTATTGGGTTTTAAGCACGGGCTTAAGCCTAATTATAATCAGGTTTAGTTAATTGGACCTGGTTTGTATTTGTTTTTTGGTTAGGCTATTCTTTTTGTGTCTTTGCGGTTTAGCCGGTCATCCATAGGCATTCTTCACTTTTATCCAACACGAAGCTTGTTTTATTCATTGTCATTTCACTTCCTATTGGGATAGAAGGCCAAAAGTAGATGTCTACAGTTAGCCCCCACTTTGATCGAGTCTAAAATAAACGAGGATCAAAATAGTCAAGGAAATAAATCTAAGACTTATTCTGCGAAGTTCTCAAAGAGTAGAGAATCTTTGAGAAATGTTAAGGATGTTGAAACAATCCTTGATCCGCTAAGTGTTTGAAACAAGTAGCTATTAAGGCTAGAAAAAGTATTTTTAAGTCTTAACGCGCTAAAGAATCTAAATTGATCCTTTGCAATTGTAGAACTCTTTTACAAGTAAAGGAGTTCTGGGTGATGTCATGTCATGAGAAGAGATCGGTTTAAAAGGTATTAAAAGGGGATGATGTCATCCCAATCATGTCATCGTTAGTCTAAAGTCCCTCGATACGTCATTGAAACTTTAGCCTTATTTTAACAATTTGAAAAGATTATAAAAAGAATGTTTCGGCTTTCGCAGCCTTTTGGCTTTTGCAGCCTAAACATTTTGGCTTTCGCAGCCAGAATAAAGTTTTTGACATTTCGCTTGTCAAAACGCAATACTCGATGTCCACAAGATAGAAATACATATCTCATAACTGGAGGCATAAATCCAAATCCAGTGAGAAAGAAGAAAATCGGCAACTCTCTCAGCAGTTTTGTCCACAAGATGAGTACACGTGTCTTAGGACTTGGGGCACGTGAATAAATAGGTACGACATCGTCTCGTTGCTCTTTATACAGGGGGTGGACGACACCCTAACTGACCGGTAAGCTTGTAAACTCACTAACTACCGTATTTGCTTCCAATCAAGAAGTGTCTTTTCCTGAATGGTTCGGCATGCCTCTTGCCTCGTGAGCTAACACCTAAAGTAAAGTAATTCTCTACTTTTAGTTCTGAGAGGTAGATCTCGCAAAGCTGGGGAAGAAATGAAATTTTACGCAACACCTACGCCATACAATTTTATGTTGTATGATAACGCCTTGCATTTCTACGCTGCATGATGACGTCTTCCTTTTTGTTGTGGACGTGAAAAAAGAAGAAAAGCCGGACATTTATACGTCAATACAGTAAAATGACAAACCTTTCTATGGGAGCTTTTACATAAAGCACCACTACGGAACATCTTAAGACACTTTTACCAAAAACGTTCAAAACGTATGCTTAGGGAAGGCACAAAGCACGGTGTGCATGCAGAACGATGCAAAAAACTATCAAAGAAGAAAACAAACTACAATATTCAAAGCAATTTAAAAAGATTTTGATAATTTGCGTGCCATTACGTCTAATAACAAGCAAAAACCGTTGAAAATAATCAAACGGATTAAAATCTGGATACCGGTCATTTAAGTGACCAGTATTTGTGCGCAATTCAGTGGGTCGCGCCGGCCAGGCACACGCATCATTTTGAGTTACGCTGGTATGTCACGGGCAATTGTTTCAGTTGTGCGCGACATTTAAGTCAACAAAAAGAAATCGCTAAGCGCGATTTTCATTTCGCACTCTTCTTCTTTTTTCTTGGCCATTTTTCGTTTCTCTCTCTCTAAGAAGCTCAGATTTTGCGATTTTCGAAGCCAACTGAAGTAGATCTCGCCCTCAATTAACATTTTTCCATAATCCAATGTAAGTTTTTTGTTTAAATTCATTCGTTCTTTGCTAAATTTGGGCGTTTTTTTAAAATGTTAAACCCCACTGTTAAACCCCGAAATCGTTTTTAAAATGGTAAACCATTATTCTTGAAATTAATTGTTCCATGTTATTATACTATGTTCGTTTAAGGAGTGTTTTGCAACAAATTTCATGAAAAATGATTAAGTATTGAACCTCGTATGAGCATTTCTTCGTTTAAGTACAATTTTTTTGCACTTTTCTTCGAATTTGGCTTAATCCCTGTTATCTTGCTTGCTCATTTTGGCTATAGTTGTTGATTATGAAGTAATTATAGTATTAGAACTAATTATATCTTCATAAGTAATGTTTTGAAAATTTTGAATCCGAAAATTGGCGCAAAGTGTACACCTAGCTTATTTTTTCTATGTTCGAACTTCAAGATTGTTTGGTAGACGATGATTGTGTTTGTCTTACTATTATTTGCCTAAGAATAGCTGATTCTTTGAGATTTTGGAATATAATCCCTTGAATACTTAGTTGAAACTGGTATAGGATGGCTTTTATGGGTGTTAGAAGCCCCCGTTTAATGATTTTCATTGCATGTATCGTAGCTTCAAGTATGGGTGGCATTCGATTTTTGTGTTTTGCCCTTTTGGTAGCCGTTATGCTGCCGAAATAGGTCTAGAACATGTATATTAGCTTAGTTTAGAAAAATAAACTAATAAAGAAACTTTATCCATAGCATGGATTCGCCTCCATTTGCTGATGCCAAGGAGGTTCTAGGAGAACCCGTGCCTAACAAGGCGGTTCACCCTTGAAAGAGAGTGACTCGTCCTCGTAAGGAGGTTCGGGAGCGATGCGTCGGAGCTGATCGACGTCGCCAAAAGGATTTTGTTTGGGAGGCTCCTCTCAAATGGGACCCTAGGGTCCTTAAGTGGAACCTAAACCATCACGTCTCGATCAGGGGTTGGCGTGGCATTGTGAGTCCCTTGCGCCTCCGTTTTATTTCTTCGAAACAAACTGTAACCATATTTTTACTCTTTTTTTTGCTCTTCGTTTTTTGGATTGAGCCTAGCATGCGTCTATACGGCTCTAGTAACTTGCGTGGCCGTTTTGAGAGTTTACCCGAGGTAGTATAGGAGATTGTGGAACATTTGGGGATCAGCTCCCAACTGGCTTTCCTTCGTGGATTGCTGGAGTTTTGGTGGGATTAACATTTTTCACTTTCCATGGGGAAAGATGACGGTTACCCCTTACGTTTTTTGTATGATTACGGGTTTTCCTTTTGGAGGTGAGCCCGTAGCTATGGAGGTCATCAAGGGGTCAGACGAGAGACTACGTGACCTCGTGGTGGACCGTCTTGCGGCGGTCCTTTAGATGTATGCGCAGTCTTTTCCGTACTTGATTCTTGCCGATGAGTTGTCGGCTGATGAGGTTGATCGGCAGTGTACACCTGAGCAGCTAGCTTGAATATACATTGCTCATGTTCTTTCCGTCACTATCTTGAGTGATCGGGGAGAGCGTTTCGCTATAGGGTTACTTATTTGCCTCAGTGATTTGGGGCAGGTAGGTAACTTGAGTTGGGCGAAGGTGTCGTATGCCCATATGCTTACATCTATTGGCAAGGAAACCCGTGTGATGGATTTTGCGGCAGCTACCGAGGTGCCTCAGATTTCTCTCACGTGGCATGGTCGTTTCCTTGAGGTACATACTTTAAATTTTTTTTAATCGCCATTCTTGTTTTTTTTTTCTTATTTTTTTTCGTTTCTTATAGTCTTAGGGATATTCGTACCTTCCTTTTTTAGCCCCTAGGACGCTTGAGGCTGCTCGCTTTCCTATTGACCATCGGCTGGTCACGATAAAGAAGAAGCGGGCCACTTCAGGCTGTGACTTTCTCTAGAGGATCCTTTCGGCGACTCGTGCATCGGTGAGTACTTTAACAACACATGTGCATATTTTTTCGATTACTTTTTCTATTTTGATGATTTTCATGAGGTTGTGTTTTGCAGATCAATCTCCGTCCTTAGAGTTTGATCGTCGGAGTCCCTGAAGCTATCCGGTCTGGCATGATTTGTTGCTGTTTCTGGGCCCTTTATCAGGGGCTTCCAGTGCTCCAGAGGACATACGCTTGGTTTTTAGGCGAGTGTGTTCTCTGGCAATCTTCATCCGAGGAGCCTGCGGTTCATGTGGATCCTCTGATCCGAATGTTGCGTCCTGAATTGCTGTCTACCAAGGCGAGTGTGTTCTCTGACAATCTTTGCCTTCAAACCACTCCTTCTTCAGTACTTTGAACCGTGGATCCTCCTCAACGTCATGACCAACCTGAATCATCACTTAAACTTAATTGCAGGATCTCATGACATGGAAATTCAACTTACAATCCAGCGAGCCAACCAGACATTTTCAAGAAAGATAAACAAAACCAAACAAAATACATACAACCACCCCAGAATACATAAAATTTCTAACATTAAAATTTCACATCTTGACTCAATAAAGGCATACGAAGGAAACTTCCCTAAACTAGGACATATAAACATCGATAAAGGCTTTACTTAGAAATTAGCTCAATACATGCCTTTGGTGAATACTAGAAAACAAAACAGAAACAAACATTTTCATGTAGGAGTTAGCTATATTTCTCAATGAAATTATCAATAACATACATGGTGAAAAGAGTCAGGACAATTTAAAAAAAGAAAATCTTCTGAAAACTCAGAGTTCGTCCCCCTCCCCCTCTCTTCCAATGATTTATTATACAATTACAACTATATCAAAATCTTCATACAAACATGCTAGACTATCAGTGTAACATTACTCAACGCTCTTGAATTAAAAACATACAATTTAACTCTACTCAATTACCATGAAAAGAGAAAGCATAATCAGGCAGAAGTCAGCTTTAATTTAATCATAAAATGTGAAATTTTACCTTCTACAAACTGATTGATCATTAATCACAGTAAAAATTCCACGGAGATAAAATTTTCATATAATAAACATCACTAGAATTTAAACATTGGCAAAACTTAATTTTTTGATATATTTTATAACCTAATGTTGCTAGAATCAGTCAAATTTTACAAATTCATTAGGCAGAAATAGTGAATTACCATGAAAAAAATGTATCACAGAAAAAGAGTTTAAATAATAATTATCAATTAAAATTAAAACAGCATTTGAGCATAAGTTTAAAATCTTTACACATCTAAATATTTTCTATGGAAACATTAATTTCTCAGAAAACCCCTAACTTTGAAAAAGAAGAAAGAAATAATAAAAAAAAAGAAGATAAAATCAGAAAGGAACTTACACGGTAACCATAGTAATTCCTGTAATTTCCGAAGGGAGCAACCTCTTTGTTCTTCTTCTTGTTCTTTACAATACCATTATTACCTTTATTAACAGCAACTGGGTTTTCTGTCTTTTTTTTTTTGCGTTGAATCTGCCATTTAATTCTCTTCGGCTTCAAACGGCAACTGGGTTAAGACAATTGAATTAACAATAACCTCCCATCGTAAATGCATTAAAACATATCACATCAATCAATCCAAACTTTGTATAAATTGAAATTAACAGGTATAATTTGAAAAAAACAAGATAAACCAATGACTAAATTCAAACCATGATAATACCTAACCCACATGGCCACATACATACATAGCCACTTCAATTGTTGTTGCTGTAATTTGCTTGAACTTCCTCGGGTTTTTTGGGGCGAAATTAAGCGATTTTTCCACTCGAAAATTTCAGTTATTGCTCGAATTTTTGTTGCTGTAATTTCTTGACTTGAACCCAGAAAAAGACGTAATTCAAACAATTATTGTTGCTGTAATTTCTTGACTTAAACTATTGTTGCTGTAATTTCTTGACTGAAATTCGAACAAAAATTATTTATGACTGAAATGGGACAAATTTCATAGGGTATATTGCGTCGCTGCCAAAAACCCTAGAAATCCCCCCACGAAATCCCCCAATCGAACTTGAAGACCGAAATTGAATTTTTTGGGGTTTTTAGGGTTCGAATTTGTATGCTTTTGAGTTGATTTTTTGCTCGAAATGGGGGATTTTTGGTCGGAAACAATCAATTTTTCTAGGTTTAAGGCTTCGAATTTCTTAGGGTTTTTGGTCTAAATTTTTGCTCGAAATTGCTCGGATTTGCAGCCGATTATGGGTCTTCGACTTCACTGCGATTTTAGATGTTAAATTTGCTGGGGAAACGCAAGTTTTTGGCCGAATTTGTTGGATTTCAGAGACAAATTTGTGGGTGTTTTGCTGTAGAAATTCGCTGGAATTTAAGAACTCTTGTTTTTTTTTTCTTTTTGTATAGTGAATGTAGGCGTACCTGATGAAAAACTAAGGTCAAAAAACGCAGAAAAACCTAAAGCCAAAAGAGTTATTTGCGTCACTTTATTATAAAAAAGCGGCGCAAAAAACCTTGTTTATAATGTTGCACACAGTTCATATGTGTCGCTCATTAATAAAAGAGTGACGCAATTTACTTCATCACTTATTTGCGTCGCTTTCTAACTAATGAGTGACGCAAATAAGTTTATTAATTGCGTCGCTTTAATAAATAGGAGCGACGCAAATGATAGAAAGCTGAAATGCACTTGAGTTTTGCGTCGCTTCTTGAATAATATGCGACGCAAATAATTTAAAAGGATGGTAAAAATAAACATTTGCTTCGCTCCTTAGAATGAGTGACGCAAATATGGCGACGCAAATGTACATTTTGTACTAGTGTTGCTGTCTACCAAGGATCGAGCTCAAGCGATCCTTGGTTATCCAGAAGAGCAGCTGGTGCTGCTGCATGCATCTTACCAGGCTTTCATCGCATCCAAGCTGACTCATTTCCCTGCTTTTGTTTCACTTAGTATTTTACCATATGTTTTTTATTTTTCTTTTATTTCGGAACCTTGACTCTTTTATCTCTTTTATAGCGAGTCAAGATAGGTGGTTGAGTGCCTCCTACGGCGGAGGTCACGTATACCGATGCTTTTGGATCGGTAATTCGCAAGATTCTCCCAGCAGCGGAGGAGGAGGAGGACATACCGTTTATTCCTAAGACGATTGGGTCGGTATGTTTATTTTATATACGTATTTGTTTTTAGGATTTTTTAGGATTTAACACCTGATAAAAGCGCGAAAATGGATTTTAACACCTCCAAAAAAAAATTATTTTAACACCACATAAAAAAATCAAAATTAGAAGTTACCACCAAAATCTTATTTCCTTTGACGGAACTGTTACTGCGTCCCACTCAAACGGATACTTTTTTGGATTCCCTCTATATATGCATGATAAAGGGAAATAAACGCATCGTTAAATTTGTTTATCCCTAATTCAAATATAATTGATACAACCTAAATAAACATAATACGAGTATAAGGCAAGCATAGGGGTCGAACCATAAGGAACGAGTAAAAACTACCAAATGCTATCAACAACTAAGCTAGTCCGAGATAAAGGAAAGTAAACTAAAGGTCTAAACATACTGAAACTAGAGATAAAACACTAAGGGAAATGGTTTAGGTAAGTTTTAACTCAAACATGAATACACATGGAATTGTTATTGAACGCGAACTAAGCATCACACATCAACGGTTTAAGACACAGTCTAACATCCTATTGGAGTCAATTTCTTTCTTGATTCATAAACATGCTACGAGAAAATCAAGGTAATAATCTAGCAAAACCGATCTATGGAAATCTCTAAGCCCTGCTATCGCTACAACCTAGGTCAATCCACCTAGTTATGACTAATGGTTGGCCACCCAAGAGAAACAACTAGTATGATATGCAAAACAAAGACTTTAATCACAATCACAACAATTTCAATATCAAAGCATACTTGAGATTCAACTACAGCATCACCAATTCCTATAGTAAGAAAATTACTCACTAATCATGACAATAACAACATTAATTAACAAATAATCAAGAATCAACATGATTAACAAGCAATACTAACAACTAAAACAATAATCAAAAGAAAGCAAATAAAATAGAGGAGAGAGAGTTAGAGATTCTCATTTATTGAAGATGAAATTCTACAAACAAGATGATCAATCTTCTTCTTCAAAATCCAATCTCAACAATGGTGAAAACCTCACTTTCTCTCTCAAACTACTCTAAACCAAAGCTAAATCCAGAGAGAGAAGCTCTCCTAAAACTAATTAAGAAAATATAATAAAAAAAATCTGATCACCCTAATTACCCCCAAAAAAATGGGTATTTATACTAACTTAGGAAAATAGAAAATAAATAAAGAAAGAAAAATAAAGAAAGAAAAGTGAAACAGAGAAAAAGAAAAAAAAATGAAAATAAGAAAAAGAAAGTTAAAAATAAAAGGAAAAGAAAAACACAACAAAAACCATCAGACCCCCCTTCCCCTCTTCTTCGAAATTGATTGCTCTTCAATGGGGAAATAATACCCTGCTTCAGGGCCGGCTAAGGGCCTGTGCAAACAGACCCTTAGCACAGGACCCTGAAATTTTAAGGGCCCAATTTCGCTTGGAGCCCAGTTTTGTAAAAAAAAAAAAAAAAAAAAAAAGAAAAAAGAAAAAAAATCAGTTTGCAGCATGTATAGGAATATGTTTACAAATTAATTCTCCAAATCCATCTACTCCATAATTACCTCCGTCAATTTGTAATTCCCATAAATAAACTTTCAATCTTAATAACTCTCCTTTATTAATCAGCCTTTAATTCTCACATTAAGAGCAACTCCAATGGTAAGCTAATTGTGAAATTAGCTTGCCATGCCACCTAGGATTGCAAAGCTAATCTACCTTGTAGCTAATTAATCCCACAATGGTTAAGCTAGTTTTCAATAATTTTTTTTTTATTTATTTAATTTTTTTTAAATCCTACAAGTATTATTTATTTATTTAATTTTTTTAATTCCTACAAGTATTATTCATTTATTAATTTTTTTTTATACTACAGTAATTTTTTTTTTGGTATAATAGCTAGGGTATCGTAACAATTACTTTGCTAATTTCAAATTAATAATTTCGTATAATAAAAAGATTTAAACGTTCAATTATTTCAAAATACAATATTCAATTAAAAACAAGAAGACTTAACAATGAAATAATTTTTTGGAATGCAAAACTACAACATTATTCTAACAATAGCGTAAACAAGATATACAAGACATTCAATGAAAAGAAACCAAGAAATTAAACATAATAATACACGATACTCAATTAAGAGTTTGGCCTCCAAAACAACTCCATATATGTTCCACTAGATCAGCCTTAAGTTGATGATGCATTTGTCTATCTCTAATGGTTGCATCTCTTTCAAGAAATGCTTGAAAATCTAGAGGGTTTCCTTGAACAACATCACCGACACTTATTTGTGTAAAATCGTCTCGAGGAAAATTTCTAGCGTATGTGTGTCTTTCATCTTCAACAATCATATTATGCAAAATAACACACGCGTCCATTATATCATGGAGCTTGCGCTTATGCCAACATCGTGCAGGTCCACGAACTATTGCAAAACGAGATTGAAGTACTCCAAAAGCTCGTTCTACATCTTTCCTTGCACTCTCATGCTTTTGCTTAAATAGTAGCCTCTTAGGGTCTTTGGGATGTGAGAATGTCTTGACAAATGCCGCCCACTCGGGATATATACCATCTGTAAGATAATACCCCATGTTGTACTCTGTTTCGTTAATTGTAAATTGAACCTCTGGAGCTCGTCCTTGCAACATCTCTTGGAATAAATTTGATCTACTCAAAACATTAAGATCATTATTTGACCCCGCAACACCAAAATATGCATGCCATATCCAAAGATCCACTGAGGCAACTGCTTCAAGCATAATTGTTGGATACCCATAATCACCTCGAGTATATTGTCCTTTCCATGCGGTTGGACAATTTTTCCATGCCCAATGCATGCAATCAAGACTACCAAGCATTCTAGGAAAACCATGACACTCCTCATGCATTCTAAGCAACCGTTGCACATCTTCATTTGTAGGTCTTCTCATGTAAACATCTCCAAATACCTCAATTACAGCACGACAAAATTTGAATAAACAATCTATTGCAGTACTTTCACCAATTTTAATGTATTCATCAACAGCATCAGCAGGGGTGCCATATGCTAAAATGCGAATAGCAGCGGTGCATTTCTGAAGGGGAGACAATCCCATTCTTTTTGTAGCATCAAATCTCTGTGTAAAATATTTCGAATGATTTCCAAGGGCTTCCACAGTACGGTTAAACAATTCTCTTCTCATTCGAAATCTTCTATGGAATAATTGCTCCGGGTATATAGGATTAGTAGAGAAGTAATCTTGATATAAATTTTTTGCACCACCTTCACGATCACGAGGTACATACTCTCTAGGGGGATTTTGGTATTGCTCTATTAGGTAGCGTCCCATTTCTTCATATGACTCATTGAAAATTTCCTCAGACCAAAATTTTTTCCAATCTATGTTGTTTGATATATTAGAACTTCCAGACATAATGTATATAGTTTGTATTTTGAAATTTAAAAAAAGTATATATATACTAATTGTTTTTTTTTTTGAAAGACTTTACTAATTGTGTTTTAATTAATGGTGTTATATATAGTAGTGTTACTCTAAACTAATAAAGATTTTTTTAAAAAAAGTAAAATAAAATAATAACGGCTAGATTATTTTACTTGTTTGAATTTCATAATTGGTGTATTACCCCAAATTAAGTCAACATGCATAAAGATAATTTTTCTTTTTTTTCTTTTTTTTTTTTTTTTTTTTTTTTTTGCATAGGTAGTGGTTTTAGTTTTGTTTTAGTCCAATCAATACACAATGTTAGGTGGAACACTTAACTTATCTAACAAATTATGATAAGAATCAAAACAATGAAAACTATAATGAAGTTGAACACTTAACTTAACTTAACTTATCTATTTTATTGGAAACAATGAAGTTGGTGTTTTGGTAGATTATGTTTAGGATTTATCATAAAACTATAATGATTTAAGGTGGGTGTAAACTTACTACTATATATTATTATTTGGGGAGGGTGTCGATTATTCAATATATATTCCAACATGCTTCCTCATGTGTACTCCTCATGCCCTCTAAAGAGGTGTTAATCTATGTTTACAAGATTTATATATACAGTAATTCACAACTTAACATTTGAATTATGTTAATGCAATTGTCTTTTTCGTTCACACACTAATAGTTAAGGGTAATGACATACAATGAACCATAAGGGTTGTGCATCAAAACTTTGATATCTTTTCTAAATCAATTATTTAATTCAATACGAAAATGGTCAAGAAGTTAATATCAAATTGATTGTTATATATAGTATCACACAAAGAAGTAGAAATCAATACCTTTCATTAAATAAAATTTAATAAAGCTTGTCACACTCTTAAACATAATCATCCTAAAAAAAATTAAAAACTTACTACATAGACATGTCTATATTTATTCTCTAAAACATCAGTAAATTTAGATTTGCTAAATGAGATTATTAACCCACATTATAAATATATAAACTACTTTGTTAATTGTTATTAAGACATTCCATACTTAGCCCTTAATAATTCGCATACTTGTTCATGATTTTTCCTTGCTCTTTCATCCGTATTCGAAGTATCTTTACATAGTATTTCAAAATAACTTTGACGAATGTGATCCTCCATTAGTGATAGTCTCTTCTTAGCTAGATCTTCAAATTTAGTCCATGTATCATCATCATTTGCCTTTTTCTTATTTTTCTTCCTTCTTGCTTCTTCTTTAGCAGCCTTTTGACCAATTGGACGTCCATCGAGCACTTCTACATCGTCAGTTTGAGTTGTATCATGGTGAGAAGAGGAAGATATACCAGCAGATGATCTAACTTTTGATTTCTTGCGCGGACCACCTTGTTTTCGAGAAAATTCTTGCCACTTAGGATCATTCCGAAGGATTTGCCAAGCATGTAAATAAGGAAATTTTCTATCTTTGTTACGACTTGAGAATAGTTCCATGGTCTTGTTGATAATGTCTTCTTCGTTATGAACACTTAGGTGACTTTCTTTTAATTGTATGTAGTACCCATTAAACTTATTAACATCACCACTCATTTTGTACCAGTGGTTTGCAATTTTTTCAACGGGTATCTCTGGATCTTCTTTTCTCCACTGGTTATAGTATTCACCAATATTTTTCCAATACACATCCTTAGTTTGATCGTTTCCCTTCACCGGATCTTTCGAAATTGTTGTTAAACTTTTGCATAAATCAATATCTTTTACTTGAGTCCATTTCAACTTACTAGTTATGTGCTCGGATTGATTATTGATCTCTTCCGAGTCTGCTTCAGTTTGAGACGTTTGAGATTCATCACCCAATCTTGAAGGAAGAGACTCTTCTTGTGTGCTCGACCCCCGTATGGTATCCCTACTTAAATTTTCATACGTCATAAATGACTCGCTTGAATGAATTGGATGGGGTGAATAAATTGGACGGGTTGGATGACTACCCGGCCTTAGAGGACCAGAATAGTTAGAATGATAATTCATTTGAAAGCTTGGGTTGTAAGGAATGTCATTGTGTTGATTAATATTTACTGTTGGATAATTAAGTTGAGCTGGTCGGATTGGAAAAGTCTGAGGATTTGATGAATTTAGAGGTGTTGATAGAGGGTTTTGAATTTCAATGTTTTGAGAATTTCTTAAACAATTGAAATATGGGGTGAATGAATCATCATAATCCATTTGAAAACCTTAAGTTTATTAATTTGAATACACTATTAAATTAAAAACAACTTTCAATATCAAGCTCTATAGCTAAAACTAATTGTGGAAAGATGTGTTATTAATGTGGTTATATATATACATTAATGTGGTTATATATATACATATATATATATATATATATATATATATATATATATAATACAAGGGTTGATAAAGTCAATATACATAATACGTTGAAATCCAAAAGTTTCTTAATTTGTCCTTATCATATACTATACAAAGTAGTATATTTCTGGTTTTTTTTTAAAATTATTTTAATTTTTTTATTTTTGAATAGTCTATAAAGTAGTATATGAATAACTGAACATTATAGTATTTCACATGAAGTATCCGAGTACTCTATTACTATGCTAAAAGTACTCTACTAGTGAAGAATAGTGCCAAAAAAATCTTTAAACCAAAATTGAAAAAGTAAAAACAAAAAATATAAAAAAAATAAATAAATAAAGTTGATACCGTAAAAGCTGCAAGTTTTATGTATAAAATAACAAAGATAACAATTTACCTACAAAGTAGTACATGTGAATTCACATAAAGCTGCAAAAGTAATCAAGGATAATGACAAAAGTACCTAAAACAAATAAATATAAATGTAAAAATATAATTAAAATTATATAAAAAAAGAAATACAACTTGAAAAATGCAAACTGGCAACTGACAATCACGCAAAGGAATAATTGTTAGCGTGATACACGCAGCCTTAAGTTGTTGTTTGTTCCATTTGGCACAATTTGCTAAGCGAATTAGCTTAGCTAAGCGAATTAGCTTAACTAAGCGAATAGCTTTCCCAGCTAATTTGGTAATGCAATTCCATTGGTTAAACTAATTACTTATTAGTTTCATAAATTGCACTAGTCCTAATTTTCAACCATTGGAGTTGCTCTAATATCAAAAAAACATGAAATTTCCTAGGAGTAAAATACTCCCACGGTTCACCTTCATCTTTTAATGGTTATTATTTTTTTTATTTAAATCCTCTTTCAATGGTTAGCTATGAAAATTATTTCCATATACTTCATAATTAAATTAGTTATATGTTCTCATCAAAAAAAAAAAAAAAAAAAAGTTATATGTTAAACAAATTTTTCCACACACCAAAAATTGGATTACTCATTGTTTACTCAGTAAAAGATCAAAACCCATTCAATGAATCAGTCATATTACTCAATACTCATATATAAGGTACGTGTTATTTACTGTCTTTTTCCTAATACTTTGATTTGCTTTGAGCTTATTTTTACATTTTTAAGTAAAAAGTAAAAGAAATTGGTAACCTGTAATTGTGATAAGCGGCAATGAAGCTTTCAATATTTGGAAGGTGAACACTTGCTAATTAAACTAATAGCTTGTTTGTATCAATTTTTTTACAAGTTTTTTCTATCATTTTTTTACCTTCATTTATTAGTTTAATTAATAATTACATGCGTTTGTAATTTGGTACGAGTATTAATCATATATCTAAATAAATTTTCATAGATGAGTTAAAAAAAATGGTATCTTTTTATTAGGGACCAATTTTTAGGATTAGAACAGGGCCTCGAAAATGTTTGGGACGGCCTTGCCCTGCTTAACTCCACACCAAATACCGTCATCAATAATCATCATTGAATCACCACTATCCAATCATAATCAATGCTCCAAATCAATGGCTATCATCACCAAGCATCATCATCATCATTATTAGACCGGTTGATCTTCATTAAAATCACGTGTGATGCTCGTGAAATGGTTTGATCGAACCTCGGGTAGGTTCGACCGAACTACGGGGTTGGACATGGGTATGTTCGACCATACCTATTCAATTTAGACAACTTCAAAAGTTCCTGACTGTTTTAACACTTTTTCGCACTTCGATCGAACTCCTCAATGGTTTGCCCGAACCCGATCAATTCGTGATTTACTCTGAGTTGGGGTTGTTACTTGTGTGATTTGGGGTTGCAATTGGTGGTTTGGTTTGGTTTAATTGGTGAAGGAAGCAGCAGTAGTGATACGGGGCTGCTGTTGTTGCGGTTTGTGGTGTTGGAGATTGATGGTAGTTTCGGTGGCAGGTGGTGTTATTGGTGGACTGTGAGCTGCGTGAGGCTGCTCTGTTTCTGGTGAGCTCTTTATGGGAGCAGGGGAGCTATTCTGTTGCAGTTGGTGGTGTTGCGGTTGGTTGCTAGGTGCTATGGCTTGATTTGGGCTGTTCGTGCGGTTTGTATGGTGTGGGTTTTGGTGGACGGTAGTGCAGGTGGTGGAGTAGGGATTGGCGAAGGTGGCTGGAGGTTTGGGTGTTATTTGGTGACAGTTTGGTGTGTTGGAGGTCAGTGGTGTTTTTGGTAGATGGTGTGGCAGCAATGTTTGTGTTGGCTAGCAATTGAAAAGCCTCGGCTTGGACATTGAATCCGAGCCTACACACAAACAAACCCAAGGGTAAAACCGAGATAAATAGAATAAACTAAATAATAAAATTGAACTAAATAAACTAAAATAGAAAATGAGAGAAATAAAACTAAAACTAACAAAATTAAATAAAATATGAAAAAGGCTAAAGACTTATAAAAGTAAATTAGAATACTTTTAAGGAAAAATAAAGAACGAAATAAAACAAATCAAAAGCAAATAAAATACGAAAATAAACTAAAACTAATAAAAACTACAAAATGAACTAAAACACGTCAAAATTACCAAATAAACAAGAAATGTTATTAAAGAGAAAAAAAGAAAAAGAAAGGAAAAATAAGATAAAATAAACATGAAAATGACTCAAAAACTATTTCCTAAGAGTGACATAAATGTCACTCATCAATGCACGATTCTCCCCAATTATCCCATATTTTAACCTAATCTTTGTTTGAAACATATCGATTTGCTTCAAAATAACACAAATTACAGGAGTAATTGCTTAAATTCTAGTTCATGGAAGACATTGAAACTGCTGGAACACGTATTTGGGTTTATACAAATGCAACGAATTATGTGTAATAAAATTAGGTAAATTTAGATCGGTTATTTGTTAATTGTGTTATAATTTCATTAGGTTTATTAATTACAATTGTTTTGTACTCAAATTGATAGTTAGATTTTGTTATGCATGCATGTAATTGCCCATTTACAAAACTAGGGTTTATCATAAATTGAAATTTGGGGTTTTTCGTATTAGTTAATTATAATTGAAAATTATTATTGATAATGTTAATTTGTTGATGTATAAATGTGTATATGTAATTGTTGTTCTGAAATTGATGCAAATTATGTCGTTTGTTAGCTCTTCCCCTTCTAAGGAAAAGAAATGCAATTGTGGTGTGCCAATGGGCAAGCTAACTAGTTGGACAAAGGAGAATCCAGGGAGGAAGTTTAGAGCTTGTAAGTTTTATGATCCAATCACAGAAACAAGAGGCTGCAAAGATTTCGAGTGGGTTGATCAACCTGATGGGAAGATTGGAAAACAGGGGTTATTAACAACCTTTTATGGGATAAGAAGCTGCTAAAGGTTGAAGTAAATGAATTGAAAAGGGAAGTTGACAAAATCAGTGGTCAAAGGAGGTGCCTACTAAATGAAGTTGATAATTTGAAGATTAGATGTAAGGCCTTAAATGGTGACAGGAACAGAATGAATAGGGAGTGCATTGTAGGGAAGACAACTTCAATTAACTGTTTTGTTTGGGTGGGAATTACCATTTGTATTGGTTTGTCAATGGTTTTAGTTTTCTTAATGAGTAGGGGTGGTTAACAACTAGTAGTATCAATTAAGTTATGAAACATTTTATATATATATATATATATATATATATATATATATATATATATATATATATATATTTGTATCAACCTTTTTATGCATTCACTGAGTTGTTGACTTTAAAAATGCTTTAACATTGGACAAGGATTTGAAGATAGTAAAAGCTTTGAAACTCTTGCATTTTGTTCATTGTCAAAATAAGTAAGCACTTTAAATGTAGTTTGACAAAACAAGGTTACTTTATACTGCCTTAAAGGCACTTAAAGGATTGCAAAGCATATATACAAGTTTTTAAAATGTCAGATGGCAATCAAATCTACCAAAATACATGAAACTAACAGATTGTTCACTAATAAAGATTGTTCACTAATTAGACACATGAATTCACTAGGTGAGGTTCATCTTGAAGGTCTGCATTTTGGCCCTTGTCACAACACCTGTTTGCTGAGTTGGTTGTGTTGTATGCTGACTTGAGGGGGTTCTTACCTTGGTTAGAGGCTCTGTCTTTGTGTTTGGCTAACTTGAGCTAGGCTTCTTCTTTGTTTTTGGTTGACTAGAGCTAGGTTGGGTTGAGGTAGGTTGGCTTCCTGCTCCTGCCTCTATTGCATCCTATCAGACATGATGTGAAAAAATGGAACAATTAGTGACATGTATTACATTGAAAATCTACAAAAAAAAGTTAGCAAGTTGAGCTTGAATTGGGTTACATTTTTTGCACCCCTAAGCTCTTTCTTTTTTCTCTCCTCCCCCATCCAAGTTGTGTTCAAGGGGGGGTCTGCCTGCTGCCTTTTTCACCTCTATTTTTGGTGCTGCAGGTAGTTTACAGCTCTTGGCATACTACCCAAAACCCCCCATAGTGTTTGCATTGCTTCTTCCTCTTTGTTGTGTTACCTGCAGTTGAATATTTCCTTGGCTACTCAAGTCAAATACATACATATAAAAC